TCGGGCAGCGGCGCGGCCTCCCGGGGCGGGGAGGAATTCCGGTTCGCCGGGACTTTCCAAAAAAGGCGAAGATCCGGTGCCGGCGGCTCCGCCTCCCCAGCCCTTGTTTGGGAGCCATTCCGGAAAATTAAACTTCGGAAAGAAACCGAGTGAAGCCGAGACACTACAGTCAAACCCCTACTCACTTTCTTGGCAGCTCAAAACCGCAAGCACAAGGAGGCAGCGAAGAAGAAGAAGAAGAAAAAAAAAGCTTCATGCATTCACGGAAGCTGACTGCTTTTTTCTGAATTACTTGGTGGAAAGAAGTAGCTGATGATAAGAGTGAATGCGGTATTGCTTTTTTGGAAAGTCTGTTCTATTTATACTGGAGCGAAAACGGAACAGGTTTTGGGTTGTTTGTTTGTTTAAGTATTCTGGGCACCTTGGGGCGGGGGGGAGGCGTGAGGGGGAAGGGTAAACCCTAGGGGGAGCAGAATAACTGCCAGGAGCTTGGAGAGAAATCCTCTGGCGGAGACCACCCCCCTTCCTCTGCCCGCGCTCTCCCCGCCCCCCTTCAGCTGCTGCGCGGAGCGGGCGCCCTTCCCGGCGCGTCTGGGCGGTCGGCTGTGTGGGGGCGTCCAGATGGAGGCTTGGACATTCACCCTGCCCCGCCACACAGACACACACACACACACATTCACTCTCACTCTCACACACGCTCCACTTCCGATACACACGCTCCCGCCCCCGCTGCCTTCTTCACACACCCACTTGCACACCTTATGCCACACACCTCCCTGTTGACAGCGAGCCGGTGCGCCAGCCTGACCCATAGGGTACCCAGCCGGCAGAGCGGGAGCCCGGGCTCGCTTGCTGGGCAGAGTGCCCTTCGAAGACACCCATCCTCACCTTACTGCCTGTACGGACGTAGGGATCCACTGCCATGGCAGACCCCGACCCCGACACTCCGGGGGTGCGCCCTGTCGGCACATGCCCTACTCCCGAATACACAGAAGGCATATTATTCCTTTTCCTCGTCCTGGGTGAGCCCAGAGACGTCCTGAAAGCCAACAGCATCCCCAAGGCCAGTTTTGAGCCACTATCACCCACACGCGTTTCTCTTTGCGATAAAAATAAAAGAAAAACCTGACCCCAAGGTAAACCTTGCTGTTTAGTTCTCAAAGCAATTTTTTAAAAAACTTTTCGGAGGTCCAGAGAGCGGCGGGTTTCTGGCTCGCTGCACGCACGGCTCCTACCTGCCGGAGCACCCCGGCCCGCACCGTGAGCGCTCCGG